CAACCAGTGACTCCACCCTCTAACCAACCAGTGACTCCGCCCCTCTAACCAACCAGTGACTCCGCCCCTCTAACCAACCAGTGACTCCGCCCCCTAACCAACCAGTGACTCCGCCCTCTAACCAACCAGTGACCAAATTTGAAAATAAGGTATGATGTAATGCTTTACATGTTTTATATTAAAAACTTCAGAGGTACAGAGTAACACGGAGGGCTACTTCACCTTTAATTAAAGTAATAATAAATGTAAGTATGAATATTTCAGTGTTTGATTACATGTCAACGTTAAAGATGCCTTACATTAATTATGTTTAATAATTATTACTGGCAGCACGGTGGCTCAGTGGTCAGCACTGAGGGCGCAGCAGGGAGGCTTGTGTAATACTACACCAGAGGAAACCCTGTTTCTGACTGGATTAGTCGTTAGTGGTAATTTACACAATCAACTCACCGTTTTTGGCAGCATCTTTGTTCCTCAGGTGAGGTGGAATGTAACGTCCTGCATGGAGAAAACACAGCTGTGAACACWCTCACTGAACTTTGAATTTAATTATATCCATAATAAGAAAACAAGTTTAAAAAGTCAATAAAAAGCTGCAGGTAACAGACAGCTCTGAAGTCAGTTAACTTTTTAAAAACTGCCCGTTTAACTGAAACTTACTGTGTGTTAATTATACAACAAGGTTCATAATGTGTGTGTCACAGTCCTGTTACTGTAACTGTTTACATTTCACCACTGTGGATCAATAAAGTTTTATCTGATCTTATCTTTGATTAGAAGAAACACTCCTGTACTAAACAATAGTTTTATAGGCAGTCATTGTACGAATAAAAACTAATTTAATCACTTCTGTACTAAAGTTATTGTAAATTAGGAGAGTACATGTTTTACTTACTGCCAGTTCCTCCTCCTTGTCCGTCAGCACCGTTCAAGTCTAGGGCAGCAAGCTACGAACACACAAAACATTTTATAAATACACAGGAAGAATACTAATACACGTGTTTTAATACAAAATAAATTACATTATCGGGTACTCCAATAATCTATTAGACTGTCATTTTAATATTTTTATTATACATCATTGAGTTTCAGATTTTCACTGGTGATTGTGGAGTGCATGGCCTCACAAACACTGACCAACTATTTTAATTTAACAATTATGTTGGAAACATTTAACAAAAAATAACAACTGTGACCTGATGTGATTAAAACACTGGTTATAAAAACAAAAGTGAAACTGTTTAAACATGTCCTGATGAGTGCTCAGTGTTACCTGTAGATTTAATAAGTCTCTTCTCTGGATAAATGTTTAAAATAAAGTTTTATAATTTTCCCTCAGTTTTTAATATTATATATTTAATATTATAAAGACTTAATGTAACACAGCTGTGCGGCACTGTGGACAACTTTTGTTGCTGACAAATAAAACTGAAAAGTGTCCTGTAACAATTGGTTAACAGTAAATTAAATAATAATAATGATAAATAAAGTCCAATAAAATCTACTTTGAAAGCTTTATGTTTCCTGAGTGTTGATAAAACTAATAAAAATTAGTTTATATTTTACTTCCATACTTCTCAGCAATAAAAAGTATTAAATTTTAGGTTATTCACGGACTTTTAATTAGAAAATAATCACATTTCAACAATTACTTTGTTTCGTAACAGGTGATAAAAGTGACGTCACACTGCCTCCATTACCGACATACCTTTTTTTAAAACTCACAAATAATCTAATAAAAGTAATAAAGGTGCGTCTTGTCGACTGTCTTTATAAAACACCAGTTATAATGTCATTAATATGAAGTTAGTTTCGACCTGAGAAATAAAACTTTAGTTATTTAAAGAAAATTAAACCGATGCCAACATTTTTTCTTCCTGCGCCACGTTTCAGGCGGAGCAGGCCCGACATGGCGGCCCTGCCGGCCGGGTCTGCTGTCCCGAACAGGTCGGTTTATTTTAACTCTGGTGWGTTTTAACACCAGTTCAGAGCGTTAAACTGGTTCCTGCTCCACAGGTACACCGTATCGAACAGAAAACCGTGATTAGTTAATTTATAAAGTGAGTTCAGAGGAACAGAACATCGAGTTCCGCCATCACCATGTTTCTGCTCCGACATCTTAGCTGCTGCCGCTCTGTTAGCTTAGCATCAGGCTAACCGAGCTTTGATCCAAACCACACGCGTTGAAAGGAAAATGTTGAAGTTTACACACATAAGATTACAGTCCTTACCTGCTGATCTAGACCGTGTTGATTATCGACGACGACATGACTCATAACTAAAGACAGAGGTGGTTTTCTTTTATCTAAAGAAAGGCTGGTCTTTGTTCGCGCTGCCGGCGAGACGACTGAGCTTTTTGTTTTAAATCTGTTTCTCAGGCTGACACTTGTAAAGTAAGGTACACGTACTGCTTCACCTCGAGTATAAATATAAAACAAGTAGTTTGTTACTAAATTAAATAAGTATCGCTGAGCTGCTGATGTGAACCTCCCGGCTCGTGGACCGTGGCAGAATGAGACTCAGGTTGATGAGGTAGCGCGAGATATCAGCTCTGTAAGCTCAGAGTCACGTCTCAAAGCCGAACTCTCGCGATATTTGACTGTTTTTTTTTTTTTTAATGAAAGCTTCGTCACGAACATTCTGTCCATTTTCTGAGAACTGCAGTCAGCAGAAGGAGAAGTGGACATTTGTAGCGTCATTTGTGCTCCACTCATTGTGTAACAACGTGTAACCGAGTTTTATTGGTTACATGTCTTCAAAAACATTAAAATAAGTTGTATTTCATTAATTTAAATATTTCTTATTTAGCCATTTGAACTCAATTGCTTAATTTTTTCTTTTGTCATCCTGCTCCTGACAGATATAAAGTGGTGTTGTGACTAGCTGTATACATAKTATTATTATTAATATTTAAATTTAATTTGAACACATGTGTGCGTCCATTCTTACTTGTCCATCTTGTAGGTTTAGGATGTTTTGGCAAAAATGATAAGGAAAACAAGAAGACCCACTTTGTTGGTTTTGTTCAGTTTAACATCAGACAAATGTGAAGCAGAAAATCCCAGGGATGATGTAATATGTCTGCCTAAGGATAGTAATAAATGTATGACTTCAGAGGGTTTATTGGAGGTACAAGAACAAGTTCCTGGTCAAAAACTGGAGAGCTGTATGACCAGAAGGGCAGTGTGACCTGGTACCAGGATATCCTCACCAGTCCTCCTTTAACCTCCTGAGACCCAGCCTCTTCTGGAGGTGCAGTTTTATTCCTCTAACATACATGGGATCATTAGGACCTAATAATAACTAGACTGGTACAGATACATGGTACAGGAAGTGTTTTTTTTTTTTTAAAGCAGTCATCATATGAGGGCACTGGGTCACTAATGTCACTCTTTTTAAGGAATACCAAAGCAATAACCACACAAAACTTCATGGTAGACTTTCTGCTGGTTCCATTTTCCTGGTTCCAGCAGCCAGCTGCTGACCTGAGCAAGATTAGTGAAGAGCATCATCATCATCATCATCATCATCATCATCATCATCATCATCATCATCATCATCATCATCATCATCA